AGAGGACATTGGTCGGAAGGCCCATTGGTGTTCAGTCCTGAAAGCCATCCTTGAAGAACAACGTGACACGTGGCACAGAGCCGCAGCAGCGGCAGTTATCACCTTGGATGCCAAGGCTGGGGGATGAGGGGCCCACAGGGTAAAGAACACCTGCTGCCGTACCTGCCATCCTCAGGTGCTATAGACAGGAGGTGACTCCACAATCAAAACAGATGGACATAGGTCCACACAGGTGGCTCAAGCCCAGGAGTTGGTGGTAAACTGTTGGGAGCCCAGACCCCTAAAATCATCTTGTGTTCATTGTGAGCATCACCCCAAATCAGCATGTCAATGCCATGTTGGTGACTCAGTCTCGGGGGATCCTGACTGCTCTGGCCAGTAGGAATGCTCTGTTTGCCTAAATGTCTACCTCAAAGGGGGCCCAACCACCAGTCTCTGAGAGGACCCCATAGTATGAGCTTCAGAGCCCCTCAGAATACCTGGGTGACCTTATGTGCAAGGTGTCGGGCCAAAAACTGCCCCACAGGAGGCAAATGGAGGCCAGGGGGTCCGGATCTTACTCATCCTGCTCAGAGAGCACCTTCAGTCCTGGCAGTTCCAGGCACCAAGAAGGACTTAGAAAATTCAAGGAGGGTCCCAAGAGCTGGGGCAGTAGCCGGGGTCTGAGGCATGGGCCCAGAACTTCCCCTTTTCTTCTTCAAAGGCTGAGACGACAATAAGCCCAGGGGTGTGGGAACCCAAAACCCCATTTGTGGTGACTCAGATAATCTTCAGACCCCGAAACAGTGCAAAAGCTGCTCACAGCAAATCCCCGAGATCAAGCAGATCCCAACAGGAGGAAACGAAGAGAAGAGCTGAAGGTGAGGGGTTTGGGGAGACAACCCGGTGATGACGGCTCCCAGAACATGTACGCAACCATACACTTACTGACGGTGAGGAACTCTCCTAAGGAGTAAAATATGTGTCTCTGATTTAACATTTAAAAAAAGCCTTTTATTTGTTTATTTTTAGAGAGAGGAGAAGGGAGGCAGAAAGGGAAACTTCGATGTGAGAGAGAAACATCGATGGGTTGCCTCTCATATGCGCCCCAACCAGGACCAATTCTGCAACCCGGGCATGTGCCCTGACCGGGAATCAAGTCAGTGACCTTTCGCTTTGGGGGACAACACCCAGCCAACTGAGCCACACTGGTCAGGGCTAGCCCTGATTTACGACAACTCAAGTTGACACTGAAGTGGGCAGCCTTATCCACGAAGGGTCCACAAACAAATTCTGCTTTTTTCAGAAAAGACTTGAAGAGTGACTACATGCTGGTCGCTGTTCCAGGCAGAGTTGGGGACAACATCTGTGAGCAACACGGGGGAGAATCTCCTCTCTAAAGGAGTTTGCATTCCATTGGGGGAAGACAGAGGAGAAACAAGATAGACAGAATAATGATCCAGTCATTTAGGAGGTGGCAAATGCTACGGAGAAATAAAAAGCAAGGAAGGTGGACAATGAGTGCCACCATTTTCAACTAGGTAACCCAGGAAGTCTTCACTGGAAATGTGGTTGGAGCAAAGATTCAAAAGGCAAAGGTCATATTGACATGTTTTGGGGAAATATGAATAGATTTAGAATCCACCTCATTAGATTTCATTCAAATTTTTTAAGTAATTCTTAGAATGTGTATGCATTGTTAGTATTTACCACTGAGCCACTTCGGACAGCACTAACAAGGCGCATTCTGAAGATAAATACCTGTCACTGTGAAGAAGGACACTTGCGGCTGCTGTCTAGAGCTGTGCTGGCAGGAAGGCCCCACCTACCCTCTGTAACCCTGATGCCAGACAATCCCACCTTTGGCTGCACCTTCGTCCTCATGCAGGTGAACGAGAAGGACTTCAGCAGCTCCAGAATGGCCTGTCTGTGAGGGGGGCAGAGTGTCAGCAGCCAGCTGTTGACCTAGATGTCCAGGTCAGACCACCTCCTTGTCCACAGTGAGGAGGTCTTCATCGCGCTTGCCGCCGTGGGGACTTCTGAAGGCACTATCAGACCTTCGCGTAGTCTGGTGGAGGACTCATGTCCACACCAGCAGCACACCAGCGAAAAACTGACCTCGAGGACTATCGAAGCATCTCCAAACAGCATACCAGTGATGTCCTCAAAACATCCGGGAAATCAGGCTCCCTGTTATTCTTTTTCCTTACACTGAGAACACGTCTGCCTCGGGGAAAAAGGGTGGATGCTCTGAGGAGCCACCTCGTCATGTGTCACTGAGAGAACGTTGTTTTAGGGGTGTGAATTCTGTGGCAGACGCAGGCTGCTCTGGTAGTGTGGAGAGACTGCAGACGGAGTCCAGATCTCAGATGATTATGGGGAGTATAGGGCTCTGATCTTGACCATGGAAATGAAGTGATGAAGATAATAAAACCAAATGTAAAAAAAATAAAGGCCACCTAGTTGTGGATTGGAAGGAAATCCACAACTGTTTATCGAGGAGTTAAAAAACTAATGTTTGGCCATGGGTGTAGGCGACTTATTTAAAATTCTAAAGACTCATTTTCCAAATTTGAATGTAAGAATTAATACTTGAAAAGTTCTAAATTCTCCCTCGGTTTAACTATTCTTCATTTATGCTTTTTTTTTTTTTTACTGGTTTGTTATAATAGATAAAGGAGTTGAATCTTTTAGGAACATTTGCCTTAAGTTAGATGTAGGATTCTGTCCTTCTCCCCCTGAGTCCCTCGGAACTGGAGGACTGACCACCCCATCTTCGTCCTCCGTGCCACGTATCTACACTGATCTGTTGTCATCCAGCAAATCCCGCCATTGATCTGCACAGACGCACAGTGGTTGGGAAGGGCCTGTAAACAACTCACAGACAGACTCCAATCATATTGACACAGAGCGCAACGTCCTTGGGGGGAAAGTGGAAGAAGCTCTAGGCTGACCGATGGCAAGGTTATTATAGGAACTTGCAAGTTTTCAAGATCTGGAGTCATTTTAAGAACAATATCAAAGCTGTCGCACTGGCTTCTGTTACTGCCTGTGCATATCCACGTCCTTATCAACATCATGGTCACTTCTTGAAATCTGACATTCCTTGGGGAAAGGTATATCATCAGGCTTGTTTGAGGCGAGGTGCTACTTGTATCTCGCACCCCACAATTAAACCCGTGTACACTTCGTTTTCTCTTATTATGAGTCACAACAGTCAAAACCAAGCACATTATTAGTTTATGCATGGTATCCAAGTTTCTGAGAAGGAAGAGTCCAGTGATCAGAGAGGTAAGGTTTAAGGGTAGTCCAGTTGCTGAAACAAAAAGTTGCTGAGAACTAAGACTAATGTGGTTTTTTTTTGAATTGTAATAAAAGTATTTCTATTTTAAATACCATATTACTGGTGACATTTAACTACTGGTGACTTCGGGGTGAATGTTACCTACTTTGCATGTTACTACTTAATCTTTAAAGGTAAGAGTCACACACTGAGTAATGTACTCAACATTTACAAGATCCTCATGTGGTATCTGTGTGGCTCCTCCAGAGATCACGTATGAATCACACTACTTAACTATCAGCAGCCCAGCTGCTGAGAGCCTGGGAGGAAAGCCCTTCCGCCCCTTCTCTGCCCTCACCCCACTGTGGTTTCCTTGGGCTTTTTCTTCTCCAACAGACCTTGGACTTGGCAGGAAGAGGAGAGACACACAGCCTTGTGGTTTCTGAACCTGAGCCTCTCAGAGTAGATTGGCCATTGGACAAACGGTAGCTCATCCTGGCTTCTAGACAGATACACCCAGCCGTCTCCTTATACGTTCAGGTTGACTGTCTTGAGTACAATTTTTCAAATGACTACTAGCCTAAGGAATTTAGGAAACCACACTATAAGGAAAGAAAGCAGATGTAGAACCCAATTTTACTCTGCTAAGGAGATGAGCTTTATTAGACAGAATGAGATAAAACATGTAGTTACAGGTCAAGAGCAACCAGATAGTATCACGTTTTATCTGACTCAAGCTGTCCTCAGGGATCCTTCAATTCTGGATTCTCTGTCTTCTCACCTGGCTTTAACCTGTTCTTTTTTTTTTTTTTTTTTTTTTTTATTTAATTCCTTCCCCCCCCCCTTTTCTTTTTCAAAATTCCTCCCCTTTTTCCCCTCCTTCGATCTTCCTGTCCAGCTCCTCAGAATTTGCCTTCAAATTCCACTATCAGTCCTGAAGCCTGTGAAGTGCCCACTAAGCTCCTCAGTTAACCCAACACCCATTTCAACATTCACTGAACACCTTCTCTGAATCAGGGGCTGAGTGAACTGAGGCTGGTACAAGGACAGACGGAAGTCTGTCCTAGCCTTTGATCTAGTGAGAAATGGAAACTTTAAAGCGTATATGATCAGTTTGGTGACAGAAATATGTCTGAAGTGTTACGATTAAGTGTTAATCAAATAGCATCATGTTTGGGGGAAGAAGTGAAGAAGATTTCAAAAAAGAGTTGACATTTGGGTTGTGCCTTGAAGGGTATGTAAGATTTCCTGAATAAGCAAGGGGAAAAGGTATCACAGCCAGTCACAACACCACGGACTCGGCAGGGGTGTCTTGAGCTACACATTAAATACATTGCAGCACATAATCACAAAAAAATCTCATAATGTTTTAAGTAAATTTAAAATTTTGTGTTGGGCTCCACTCACAGCCATCCTGGGTTACATGCAGCCCACAGTTGGTGGGTGGGACCCCCCTGTGCTACAGACTGGGGGCCTAAAAGTAGATGGTGTGTTCTGGGAAGAGATCAATAAGTCGGTAGGGCTCAGTGATAGGGTGCAAGGAGGTGAGAGAATAGTGGTGTCAGACCTTACACGATCTCGGCATTTTCTTCCTTCATCATGTGAGTGAGCCACAGACATTTTTCTAGGCAGGGAAGTAACGTTTTCAAATATAATTTTGCAAAATTCAGGAAAGCTGATTTTCCTTCGATGGTCTGTGAGACTAGAAGGGAAGAATCAAACAAAATGAATAGGCTTTAAAAATAATCTTTATTGTTTTTTTCTAATAAAATAATACAGATTCACTCTAAGCAATTCCAACATCATAGGAATATACAACATAGAAACCAAATGCTCCTGGTGTCCAACCTCCCAAACTCAAACCACTGTTATATATCAAAGTACTGACACGGATTCCTTTAGACTTTTATTTCACTGAATAAACCACCGTATTAATAGAATTTTCACCATACCAGTAAATATAGAGCTACCTCATTCTTTTAAATGGTTGGGTAATGTTCTATTGCATTAGGGTATTATAATTTATGGAATTAATCCTTATTTTGTGGACATTTGAGCTGTTTTCTATTTTTCATTGTTATGAACAATGCTGGGACAAATGCTTTTTAAAATAAATAAATAAAATCCTTTATTTATTTATTTAGTTTTAGAGAGGCAGGAAGAGAAGGAGAAAGAGAGGGAGAGAAACATCAATCGGTTTCGTCTCAAGCCCCCAAATGGGGACGCAGCCCACAACCCAGGCATGTGCCCTGGCTGGGAATCGAACTGGCAGACAAATGCCTTTTTACACAAACCTTTACAAACCTCTGTTTCTGTAGGACATATTCTTAGAACACTTTTATGGAATTAACATGAGGGAACGATCATTTTTTCATTTCAATGGATATTGCCAAATTGTCATCATAAAGGTGGTATCAACTCAAATCCCAGCAGTGCATCTGGGCCCCCATTCCCCTAAGGGAGAATGGGGTTTCAAAGGTAGTCTGTTCTTATCACAGAGATGGCAGAACCTCCAGACTCTTCATTCAACTCTGTGAATGTCTGTAGTTCACACGTGTCCCTGGTTTCTAATAAATTAACATTAATATTAGCTTGAAGGTTTGCCCAGAAAAGTCCACATTTACGCCTATCCGTGGGCCATTCCAAGTATGCTTTTTTTTCCATGAGGGCTTTCAGCTTCGGATACCTGGTTGGAATGCAGTAGAGTGGAACGGGCTCCAGTACGATGAGGATTATGCGATGAGAAATTTCATCCAGGAGCGGGTAGTGGGCGAAGAAGAGTTCATAATGGCACCACTCACTCTGGACAAAGCTGGGAGACAGAACCAGTATGGACTTACAGCTTTTCTCAATGCAGTTTAGGATGTTTTCAGTAACTGTCTTGCCAGGGTCAAAGTTTCCCTCAGGAAGGCAAATCAAGACAGAGCCATCTTCTTTCTCTAGAGTGGGGATCAATTCATGCTTCACCCAGGCAGAATCCTGTTCACTGTAGGAAATAAACAAATGGGATTGGACCTTTCTCTTGAGTTGTTGGGCTGTCTTCCTGACCCTGTGCCACATCAGCATCCACTGGCCCAGCATCCTGACATACCAGAGCAGATCGAAGTAGCGGCAGCAGAAGCTCACGGCCATCCCCAAAACTAGCATGGCCACCACAATAGTGACAATCAGCAGAGCCGTGTTGCAGGATAATTCGGGAAGGTGAACATCTTTTAACTGAGTCCCCTTTAGATTCAAAGGGTATTCACAGACGTAGGAATCTGGCCATCCAACCATCATGCCCTTGGAATATTTTTCAAGCTGAATGAGATCTCTTAATTCACATGTACACCGAAATGGATTTCCTCCTGCATTGAGAGTCTTAACTCTGGGGCAGCTCTGAAAAAAATCCGGAGATGGGCTGAGAATTAAGTTCATTTCCATGTTTAGAACTGAGAGTCTTTTAAAATGACTGCACCCAGGAAGATCAGTTAGGACATTAAATGCAAGATTTAGCTCTTGCAAAGACTGCAGATGAATAATCTCTTTAGGGACAGTTTGAATTTGGTTGTTATTCAGGTCAAGTATTTGAACACTTGTGGGCAAGCACTGGAAAACAGAATCAACAAAGTTGTTGGATGACAGGTTCATGGTGATCAAGGTTTCTGGCCAAAAACAATTTTCATTATTTTCATGTTGTAACAGATTTTGGCTTAGATCCAAGAACTGCAAAGATGTGTTCTTAGCAAAACAACTCACTAAGGAAAGTGTTTCCAATTTGTTGCCCTTCAAAATGAGAGTTTTCAAATGAGGCAATTGGATAGGGTTTTTTAATAGTTCATCTGTTAAGATGTTATCAGCAAAATTTAAATATTGGAATCTTGTAGGATAAGTAGGGAATAGCATGTGAGGCATCTGTGCATCTGATATTGTCAGGTTTTCTATATTCATTTTGGTAAAAAGCAAGTAGACACTGTCCTGTGGAATATGGAAAAATCTAAAACGTATATGCTCCAATTTTATAGTTTTCATTACAGTGTTTGAGTAGTCAAATGAATTGTGGTCAAGATAAACCATACCTCCAAAAGTCACGTGTTCAATTTGGAAATATTCTACTGATGTATGCCAAACAAACTGGAAGATAAAAAGAAGGTCATCCCAAAGTAAATCGACGTTACTAAGTAACAGAGTAGATGTCTTGGAATTCTCTAAAGGAAGATTTTTTTGAGTTTCGTAACTCACAAATTGGCTTTTGCCATCTATATTCGTCATTTCTAATATTTTTGAAGTCTTGATTCCATCACACAAAAGAACCCAGAAATTTGTGTTCACTGGTAAGACAATGTGAAGTTTTGTTGTGTTTAAGATGGGCAGGCTGCCTTCTTCATAATGAGACAGAGTTCTCAATCCTAAGAAAACAGTATTTAGAGGCAAATAAGCAATTTTCTGGAAATCTGATTTTTGTATTTTTGCCCCACTCAAACCTAAGACTTCCAGGTGAGACATGTTGCTAATCTCCTCACTGATCGGCATAGTATCAAAGTCATTGAAAGAAAGATCTAAATGTCTGAGGCCTGCCAGAGAGTGCCAAGTCACAGTCTTCAGTGTGTTGTAAGACAGATCTAAATATTTTAACCTCTTGTTAAATTCAAAGGTCTTCATATCCAGCTCTTGGATATAGTTGTGGCACAGAATCAAAACTTTCAGTTCAGAGACAGAACGAAAATCCGAACTCTGGAGTTCAAAAAGGAGGTTGTAGGACAAATCCAGGGTGGTCGTGGTTGGGGTCAGGTCTGCAGGAACCTTTCTGAGAAACAAGTTGGAGCAGTTGGTCGTGAGTTCCCTTTCTTCCGGCAGCTCTGAAGCCCAGACGTGCACTGACATGACGATGCCCCAAAGCACATGAACGCTTCCGAGATGTCTCATTGTGATTCCACGGATTTCATCATTGGTTCCCGCATATGAATGATGAAGAGGAGTTCAAAATCCTAGAAGGACAGCAAATAATGTTAAGTGGTTATGTGGTTTGTTAAATCCTGTAAGATTTTAATTTTTTAAGGTCAATATATGACTATGTTCACCAAGAGTTTGAAATAGGGTCCCAACATGTATCCTGACTCTTCGAACTTGATCTATGAGCTTGGCTCACAGATTTCCAAGCCAGTTACTATGCCATATCTCCATCATGGAGACACATCAGGATTCCCAGAAGGGAGGAATACAATAGTTGGCAGAAGTACCTGTCTCTTGGTTCAGCTCAGGAACTGTATTGCCAGGACATACTCAACACCCTCTCTCACATTCCCTCTTGATAGCCTGAAGGCTTTAAAAAATCCAAAGCAATTTTTAAAGACTTTATTTTAAGAGCAGTTGAAGTTCCTCAGCAAAATTGAAGGGAAGGTACAGAGACTTATTTTTCCATATGTAGCCCCCACACATGCACAGCCTCCTTCCTCGTCAACATCCTCCGCCAGAGTGATACATTTGTACAATTGATAGACCTACACTGACTTATCACAGTCACTCCAAGTCCATAGTTAACATTATGGTTCGCTCTTGTACATCATGTGAGTTTAGACAAATGTATGATGTCATGTATCCATCATTATGGTATAATACAAAGTATTTTCACCACCCTAAAAAAAATCCTCAGTGCTGCCATTTTATCTACACACACACACACACACACACACACACACACACACCTAGGCAAGCACTGATGTTTTTATTTTCTCCACAGTCCTGTCGTTTCTGTAATGTCTAGTTGGAATCATCCAGTGCGCATCTTTTTCAGATTGGCTTCTTTCACTCAGTTATATGCTCTTAAGTTTTCTCCATGTCTTTGCATGGCTTGGTCGCTCATTTGTCTTTAGTGCTGAATAGAATTCCATTTGTCCAGATGTACCACGGTTTATTCATTCCTTCACCTTCTAAAGGATGTCCTGGTTGCTTCGAAGTTTTGGACATTATGAACAAAGCTGCTATGAACATTTGTGTGCAGGTTTTAGTGTGGATGTAAGTTCTCAATGAAAGTAATTTTTATCACCTAACACTGTGGGCCCCCTACATTAATGTCATGGGGTGTTCCTCAATCTTTGTAATTTGTGGAAGTAGAGAGTCCCTGGAGCTAATATCTGACTTCGAACAACACGTACGTGGAAGGCCCGAAGCATAGAAGTAAACAGAATGGTCCCCGTCTTCACGCCTTCATATGTCTTCGGGTTGGTGCAAAAGCAGTCTGAGTCCCTGCCAAACAATAATAACGATGAAGATGGAAACATTTTCCATTTCTCGGAGGCTTTCTACATGCCAAGATAAATACTGAACCCTTCATACACATTGCCTCACTGATTTATCACAACACTCTGAGGGAAGTTCTATTTCTTGCATTTTACAGATGAGGAAACTCATGGGTGCAGAATTCTGAGGGTTTTGAGAAGAGGCAGGCTTCAAGTTGTTGGATTAGACACAGAGCAGAGGTGTTCGGAGACCTGAGATTCTCCCAGCGTTCGTGATTCAAGACATGTATGCAGTACCTACTTGGCCAGAAACTTTTCTAGGCACTGGGGATGCAGCAGTGAATAGAGCAGACAGGACATCTGCTCCTACACGGCTAACATCTTAGGAAGGGCTAAGAAAAGAAAGATGATAAGCAGAATAATACATGTATATCTGAGGTAGTGTTACGGACTAGAAAGAAAAATAACTTTAAGTTAAAGGGAATAGAGAGTGACTGGGGAAGGTGATATTTTGCATAGGGCAGTCAAAGAGGGTCCCTCTGATTTGGTGGTCTTCATGCAGGGGTCTAAAGGGAGTGAGGGAGCAAGCCCCTTGTCTGGGGGAAAGAAGTATCCTGAAGAGAGAGAGAAGCGCCAGTACAAGGTCAAAGGCCTGGTGTACAGCGTGCTTGGGAAATGTGAGGAGTACCTAGACTGGAGTTGGAGAAGTGAATTGAAAGGTCAGTCGGACCTTGTAAGGACTCTGGATTTTCCTCTGATTGAAATAAGAAATCAGTGGAGGATTTAGAGTAGAGAGGTCACAGGTTCTGAGACACATTTCAAAGCACAGGCAGCAAACACCAAGCCGGAGGGCCAAATCCGGCCCTCCCCCCTGTTTTATCCTGCCCGGCACCTTGTTTCTACCCAGCAGCAGCACCGAGCTCTCGCCTAACTGTTAAGGAGCAGTGACATTTATACAGTCCTGAATTTACATTCAGCCCTTTGAAGGCCACCATGAGGCTGATGTGGCTCCTGGTGAAAATGAGTTTGACACCCCTGTTTTAAAGCGTCCTCTGCTTGTTGGGTGGACGTGGCTGGAACAGCACAAGGCTGACAGGGAAGGTCTGCTTTAAGTAATATTAAGTAATTCCTGCAAGAAAGAAGGTGGTGGGGGAGGTGTTGAGAAGTGGTTGGATTCTAATAGTAAAGTAGTAAACTCTTCAACTTTATGTCTTCCCACACCAGGCACTCGGAAACACCACGGAAAAGTAGTTAGCAGTGGTGTGAGTTTTCCTGCTCTAACTTGCATGTGTCCAAAACACGCCGACCCTCAGTCTAACCTCAGACTGGTCACTCCCACAGACAAGCAGGAGGAACAAAGGGCACCCTCCAGGTTGCGTAGCGAGACTTCACTGTGCTATTCTTGCAGACCGTGGTTGTGGGCAACGGTGTGTGAGCGGAAGTGCACGCACCCCTGCCGGTGCGGTGAGGGCCCGAACTGGCAGAACTAACACAACGGGACACCTGAAATATTGCCCCGCTCTCATCTGGATTTTTCTGTCTCCAGAGACTCCTCAAGTTTGGGGGTTTTGTTTGTCTGTTTGTTGTTGTGAAGACATTCTAGAAAATGCGGATATTTCTCTAGGTAACTTAACAATGAAAATACTTTATAAAAGTGTTTCATTGAAAACAGGAAACTGAACACAGAGATGCTCAACCACCTAGGAACACGACGGTGAAGAGAAAACTTTGACTTTGATAGTCCTTGCCCACCGTGTGCTTGGTGGAAAGGGGCTGTGGGAGGCCCTCGGTGGGGGTGGGATTGAGAAGATGTGGCCTGGAACGGGCCCAGGGTTTTCACCTTGGCACTAAGATATTTCCTCTATTTTTACTCCTTCCAGCCCATCCAAGGTAGTCCTTGGTCATCTCCTTTTTGTATAATATTTACTATAGCATCTGGTGGTCAATGGAAGAACAACTATGAATATAAAAAGAGCCTCTATGTTGTAACATTATGTCTGTGATAATCCTCCAGGTTTCAGGAATCCAGTAAAATAAATCAGTTCCCAGTACCATGATTTTAATGTATTACCCACTTTTAAGAGGACAAGAATAACTTGTTTCCCTTTGACGAATCATTAGATATATATCAATTTGGCAAGTCTGGTGGCATCTCCACTCCAGGTGGACTCTATCATGCTAATGACACAGTGGCCACTTGTCTTTGGCGGTAACGACAGCTAGCATTCGTTGAGCTAAGTGACACTAACCTTACACAGACTGATCCTTACAACAGTGGGTGCTGTCCTTATTCCCCTTTACAGACACGGAAGATGGCAGTCAAAGACCAGCCTCACCACCATCGCAGAGTTACTGCCATGAGTCCAGAGCCTGGGCTCTTAGCCACTCCAGGGTGAGTCAGGGCTGATGTGTTCTCACAGTGCGTTACGCTACCTTAATCGCAACGAAACTATACCTCACTAAGTGGTGTTGATTCTTTAAAGTCTCCTAATACACAGTTCAAGGAACCTAATGAGTAAGTCTGCAAATGCCACCCAATTTAGATTTTATTCAATTACTTACAACAACATGGATTGAGTCATCATATTGAGCACAATCTGGTTTAAGCCACTGTATTTTGTGACAGCAGCCAGCCTGCGGCCTGACTCACCTCTAACATTGGACTACGACACGCTCCATGAGCTGCTCTGGCCTCCTTCTGGGATCTCACATCACATCACGCTTCTCCTGCCTCTACACTCTAGCCGACTTGCCCCTCTTTAGTTCCCGGACACGCCACACTTCCTCCACCTTCGGGCCTCGGCACTAGCTTCTCCCCTGGGGTTGAGTGCTCTTCTCCCCAGTCCTTTCTTGGTTGTTTTTTTTTCTTGTCATTTAGATTTCGGCCTAAAGTTTATGCCCTGTAAGAGACCTGATTTGACCATCTAATCTAAAGTGGCCAACTTGCTTTTAGTTCATATCACTTTATTTTAATTCCTCTACAAAACAGAGTGCTTACTACTATCTAAAACTTCTGCTCATTTATTTGTTTATTGATTATCTCCCCCACTTCTCATGCCCAGGAGAGAAAAGAGTTGACTGTCCTGTTCACTGCCGTATCCCCAGCACATAAGATAGAGCCTGGCACACAGCACATGCTCAGCAAATACTTCTTTAAATGTATATATGAATGAATGAATGATTTCACTTTGTATTTTTAAGCACACAGTGGTATATAATATGCTCTCAAAAAGACACGTTGAATGAATGAACTGGTGGTGTGAATTCCTGATACGATGCAATGCATGATGGTTCGGGAATGAGTTTAGTGTAAGGGACTGGTTGATTTGTGTTCAAGTCCAACCTTAGCCACTCACTGGCTGTACTAGCTGAGATCATTTATTTAACTGCTGGAGAGTTCCAGCTTCTCATCGGTAAAACAGGTTTTGTGAAGAGGCATAAAAGAAAAGAATGTATGTAAGTCACTTGTTATCGTGGCTAGCATGTACCAAATGGTAGCACTTCTCAGGGCCAAGACTAGGGTGATTTCAGGCACAAATTTGAAGGGCCATCAAATCACTCATTAATCAAGATAAATAATATTTAAAAAATTAAAATTAATGCAGACATTCACAGTGAACAAAATATAAAAATGTGTCATCGAGACCAAATCCGTATTACTGATTCTCCCCTTTGTCTGAGGCTGCAGGATGGCATAGCAGGACGACAGCAGGGACAGCCATTAGCTGATCCGGGTGTTTTGAGAGCTGTGGCCCTTGAAAAATGCGGCAGAATCTAACCCGGTTGCTTTCTCTGAAATCCCCCGAACTGAGAGGTCAGAGCCTCCATGTGCTACCCACCTCTTCTCCAGGCCCAATACCACAACCTCATGCAGAACTCACTCTAAACAAGGGAGAGGAACTAACTCTCCCTAAACTTCTCTTAATAATAAAAAGGTCCTATTTCAGGCAAGCTGTGGGCGTTATGGCATTTCATTACAATATTTTAAAGTGTAGGACATAAACCTTTCATGAACTAGCCATCCAATAAGTAATATTTATTATTAGTAGTATATTCCTGCTGCCGTGACTACTATGCTGAAAACAGGTGAAAACAGAATGACGTTCCTGAATAGAGTATGATTTAAAAGTCCCGGTCGAGGGCACCATGAAATGACTATTGGCGCTTTGTCAAAGAATATCTAATCCTCTAATTTCTTTTTCCCAATGATGAGCAAAAAAAATGGAGGAGGGTTTAAAAACTCGGTGAATGTTGAGTGATCTTTGCAACAGGAGAGTAAGAATGACTGCCATTTGTTAAGTGTTTCTTATCTGCCTGGCATGGAGCTACCTGCTGCCCATACATTATCTTGTTCAATCCTCCTGACAACCCAACAAAATGGTGGCTATTTTTATCCTGACTTTACAAATGGAGTAGCTGACACCCAGAGGTTAAGTGACTTGCCCAAGGTTACCCAGTGAGTAAGTGACAGCGCTTGGATTTGAACCCACACCTGTCTAGTCCCTTTCAGAATCCAAGCTGAAGGCATTTTGAACCCTGAAATGAAGTAGTTTGGGAGTTGATTACCAAGGTCAATTCCACCATCAGGGCCATGGGGGCCTCTTCCTCTCTTCCCGCCCCATGTGCCTCTCTCAGGAGTGGTATGTGGCTGCTATGGGACACTCTGCTAGATGTCACAGAGTTCAGAGGACTTTGCCTACATGCATAGAGAGTTACACATTCACAGGAATTAAAATAAAACTCAGAAACTGCACTGAACTCTAATAATCTATGGCTTAGCGCAGGTGGTCTGTGAAAAAGCTTTTCTGGGGATCAAATGCCCAGATGCCCCCAATCATTCCCTACAGCAGCCACATGGCCACCTCTGGTCACTTTGCACTTCTAGAGGAAACTGAGTGAGGGTCACATTGTGCAAAATCCACAAGATGTGCCCTTGCTTTTAGACATACAACACACGTGCAGAACTTTTAAATGGTAAAGGAGCAACATGTATGCTTTAAACAGTCAAACAGCAGATGTCACTAACACGCATTACAGAAAATTAAAGCTGCAGGAAACTCACCACAACACCTGGGACCGTCCACTCTGCGTAGACAGACTGGCCAGGTTTAACCAGCAACCAGCGAAAGGAAACTCCAAACCCCACGCGTCTTCAAGACAGTTCCTCAGATCGATAGCCCTGAGGTCTTTCACTGATCATTAATCCTCAGAGTAATGAGGCAAGATAACAAATACTAGAAATCTGAGTAAGGCTGCGTTTCTCCCATGTACATGAGTTCACATGACCCCCACTTTAGGGAAGGCCCCTGCAGCCCTCACTGCCTTTTCAGGAGCGTTACCACAAACAAAGCTAACAGCTCTCAGTCCCAGGCTTGCAGCCGCCCTGTCTGAGCCACAGGTGTGAATGAACCACTGCGGTTGGGCGGAAGGGGCTGTGGGAGTGACTGAACCAAGCTTTTCTGTGACGCTGAAACTCCTTTGCCCTCTACTGCATCCCCGTGGTAGTACAGGTTGTATAAATTGGTTATAATCTCAGAGAACCTTTTTTTTTCTTTTAAAGATTTTATTTATTTATCTTTAGAGAGGGAGGGAAAGAGAGAGGGAGAGAAACATCAATGTACGGTTGCCTCTTGTGCGTCCCCTGCTGGGAACTGGACTGCAACCCAGGTACATGCCCTGACTGGGAATCAAACAGCGATCTTTTGGTTCGCAGGCCTGCGCTCAATCCACTGAGCTACACCAGCCAGGGCTTCAGAGCATTTAAAAAAAATGCAGTAAAATACAGACACATAAAATGTACCATTTTAACCATCTTAAGTGCAGTGCCACCAAGCACGTTCACACTGTCGTGCGACCATGATCCCCACCCACCTCCAGATCTTTTCCATCTGCCATTTGTCAAGTGTTTCTTAGCTGCCTGGCCAGGAGCTACCCGCTGCCCATACATTACCTTGTTCAATCTTCTTGACAACCCAACAAAATGGTGGCTATTTTTGAAAATTTATTTAATTATTGTTCAAGTACAGTTTTCTGTCTATTACTCCCATCCCAGCCCATCCCCCAGTGCTTCCCACCTCCCTCCCATTTCCAACCCCCCTTAGT